TTATCAGAATGCTTAGAAACAAAATAACCATAAAAATTCGTGTAGTAAAGGACATTTGTTTTAAACTATTATGAAAAAGTATTGATTTTGTTTCTAAATTTTATTGTTTGTTTGATATTTCTTTTATGTTTTGGAATCCTTCATCAGGCTGTGTAAACTTTTGTAAATTTTTCGTACTAGTGTATGATTTGTTATTAGGTTTTTAATGATACCTATATATATGCTCACCATCAGGCGAACTAAATTATCTTGATGGAGTCGGTGAAACATCCTCTTTTTTTGTATTCACAGCATTATAAAGGGTTCCTTTTGCAGTTAGAAAGGAAAGTTTTATAACTTTTTTAACAGCGGTATACTACATGTACTGTTGCCTTTTTTTACAATAGGAGAAATGTTCTTCTAATTGAATTGTCCGATAACGATTTAGACAAAAGAGATACATACGTAATACGTGACAACTATTATGGTAAATATACAATTGACATTGAAAAAAGTGGATGATGAAATAAATATAGATTTGGATATTAAGGATGTACTTAGGTAAGTTTTAGGAATTTTTGTCAAATGTTTGGACTCCTTGGTTTTGTTTTTTTTTCAAACGATACAAGTTAAATATTTTGCCCCATAAAACCCATTTTTCTTTTCATATAAGACTTCAATAGCTCATAAAATGTCATTTTTCAAACTTTAAGCAGATTCTAGATTTTTTTCTTTCGATTTGAGACCCAATTAATACCAATGCAAATATAAGGTAAAAGTCTGAGTCAGCTTTTTCTCGCCATTTTTACAAAAATTAAATATCTCGAAATGTAGCTCCGTAACCTATTAATATTGTTAACTTATTTTGCTCCTTAACTGATGCTCTTCTGACTTACAGTATCAATTTTAAATTCTAGATTTTTTGTATTTAACGTTAGTACTTTCTTAACGTAAAATTTGGTCATTGATCAAGTCAATAGTGTCCTGAGGGTTCTTTTGTTTATTTGTACTGTATTCTTGTCACGTAAAGTTGTCATTTTAGCGGTATTTTTAACATTGCCATATAAGCGGGAGGTCTGGCTAGCCATAAAACAAGGTTAAACCCCAAATTTATTTTTAAAATGTTCTGTACCAAGTCAGAAATATGGCAGTTGTTATCAAATAGTCCATTTCTATGTATGTTGGCGATTGTTTTTGTTGCACTTCAGTGTTTCTGTTGTTCCGTTTCTTTCCTCCTGTAGTTGATGTATTTCCCTCGGTTTTAGTTTGTAATCCGGATTTGTTTTCTCTCAATCGATTTAAGACTTTTGAACAGCGGTATACTACTGTTGCCTTTATTTAGACTTATTTTAAACTGGTATGTATTTGAAAATGTCGTTTTTTGAATCACGGCTTCTTTTTGTTTGCAATGATGTCAGCATTAGTGGAGTACTCAAAGTAGACATATTCCGGGAATAACACTCATGTGCTCCAATTTAACTTTTACTCGAATAAATATCTTTTTAACTAAAATTTTTCAATAAAAACTCTTTTTAACATTGTTAAACCTATGATGCAAAAATATCAATCCTAACATATCTGATTGGCACAAACACGAGCAATGGTATGATGCAGTGCTGAAGCGGTTCGTCAATAAAAAGTAAATATACTTCGTATCGGTAAAACAAATAAATCCGGAAATTCACAAAATTATAATGACTATCAAAATTATGTCGAAACACGTGAATTTATTAGAAAAACTGACCCGGGGTGGTCTTTTAACATTACCAAATGAAGTTTTTTTTTTTTAACTTTTTAACACAAAAAGATTGGCAGATATCGATGTAATGTTAATTTACAAATGTTGTAGCCACTCAGTGGATATAAAACATAGTGCATACTTCAAACTGAGTGAAAAAGTTTGAGGAGTATAAAAAAAAAACAAAAGTGATTTTTGTCGAGTTGCTTTGTGAATGAAAAAATCAACATGTATTTTTCTTTCCATTTTATGAAAAACTGCACCGTGGGAAATTGCTACGACTGGGCAAAAAATAAGATTAAGGTATTGGCCATGCAAAAAAAAAAATCATTTTCAGCCTGCAGTTATGGTTCATTAAAGTCGTAAAATAAGCACCTTTTTCTTGATTTCTCACTCCACTATGACTTTCTCTATACAAGAAAAAAATAGCATTCTATCAAAGGAAGACAGACTTTATTTTGACCGAAATGACAACGGCGTTCATGATGTTAAGAGTACGATACTTATTGCGTATTGTAACAATTTGTCGTCGTTTGTCAGATACTTGTAAGCAGGTCTAATTTTTCCTTTAAAATTTCTAAGTTTGATATTATCAGGTTGTAAAATTATCTGTGTAACAAAGCTTTCATTACCGAATTACAATATGTTCCAAGGGAGATAACTGTCGTACGACAATCATCAATATCATTTTGTACAAAGTGTAATTTGTCCAAAAAGTGCTTGTACAAATTGTAATGACTAAAATTAACTTGTACAATAATTTATAATATGGATTTGGTTAAGCATGTGAGTAAATTATGGCATCGGGAATCCCACAACATATTTTGCTTTTTACATTTACATTGAGAAGTGCTGTGTGCCCCTTTGCATTTACATGACAGAAACCCCTGGCCACCAGTTTTTAAAAGCTTTTTTACTGCTTCACATAGCGAAAGTTAATGTCCAGCAGGAACTGTTGCTGCGAATAAAAATGTGTCTTTTAACAACTTCAATTTGATTTCTAGACAAACACCTTGTATATATATCTTTTTCGACTTGTTAATACCGCCCCCCCCCCCACTCCCCCCCCCCACACACACAAAATAAACAGTTGAAAAGTTCTCAAAAATATTAGAATGCAAAAATGGTTTCCTCAAGGCAATTGAAATCTATTGCTGTTAAATATATAAAAAAAGGCAATCATTTCTATCATCTTAATTATCATATATCCTTATACCAATTAACAAAGAATTTTAGTCATTTTTTTCACTTAATATTCTTAATTTTAACGAAAAGTTTTTCAAAGATTCTCGTTATTTTTATATTAATAAATAAACTCAAATGAAGAAGGCTATAGCACTATTTACATTTACAGGATGCTATAAAAGAAAATATGCGAAAAAGGTTATTATCGGCGTTTCATGGTTATTCTAATCGTTACAATTGTATGAAAATGCACATCTGCAATTTCTATAAGGAATTATAGAACTGTACTACCTATAAGAAACATTTGATTTCTAATTTTCAACCTCAATTTTTAACCAAAGAATTTCTTATTTTACCAAATACCCTTCCGGAGCTCCTGAGTTTACCCCTTGGATTTGGTGGTGTTCATTTTCTTTTATGTGTCTTGTATACAGTTTTTTGTCTTTTGATTATTTTGCGGTTTTGTCCTGGCATAGTTTGGTTCGAGCTATGACAAAGCCTAGATACAAATAGTTTAAAGCCTTTATCCGTAACGGAAAAAAAGAAAGTATGCTAGATACACTTACTGGAAATGCGAAGATATGATTGAAGCTTTAAATTTTCTTCTGGACAACATATATGTACATGTACGTTTTGGCGAAAAAGTGTATCGACAGATAGTAGGTATTCCTATGGACACTAACTGCGCCCCTTTAATAGCAGATTTATTTCTGTATTACTATGAATCTCAGCTTATGACCAAACTCAGTAAAGACACGTCATTGTTACATTTCGTTGATGCATTTGACAATACCTACCGTTATCTTGTTATCTTGACGATATGTTTTCGTCAAATAATCCAGATAATGCACAAGTTATGTCTTCTTTGACTGTTAATGACGTTAAAATACTAAATCTTGGGATGTGTTTTAGTTGATTTTAGTCTCTGATGCATGATTTGATATTAGTAATTGTTTTTGGCATTTAACTAGCTTTCAGCAACTGCGAGTACTCTCAAATCGTACTTTCGTGTTAATTTGACCTGTTGAGACAGTTTGTAATGCATTTTTGTTATTTAATGATTACTTATCTATATATCTCGTCTCACTATTTTGATATTTTCCACCTTTGATAAGTGTTTGGTATGACGATAAATTTTCACTTCTGTTCTCGTACTATGAACAACAAAATTATTTTTTTGCTATATATATATTTCCGTACTCCATTGTATACCTTACTACAAAATTATTTTTATTAACCTGTGTACGTTATTTTCTTTGGCGGTTTTTTGTCCTAGGTTATGGTTGTCTTTCTGATATTGTTTTACATCTAACCCTCTTGTTTTATTAATTTTGTATTTGAATTGTGTCATAGATCAAATTTATTCGTTTAGTGTATGTTCACTTGTATTTGTTAATATGTCTTTTTATTGAGTTAAACCATTTCAATTGATATTGTATAGTGTGTCTTTCTATGTTGTGATGTTACACAATTGGTTCAGGTTGGGTAAAGGTTGGCGCCTATTAAAACGTTTAAACCCGCTGCATTTGTTTGCACCTGTCCTAAGTGAGGAACCTGATGTTCAGTGGTTGTCGTTTGTTGATGTGGTTCATAAGTGTTTCTCGTTTCTCGTTTTTTATATAGATTAGACCGTTGGTTTTCCTGTTTGAATGGTTTTACACTAGTCATTTTTGGGGCCCTTTATAGCTTGCTGTTCGGTATGAGCCAAGGCTTCGTGTTGAAGGCCGTACTTTCACTTATAATGGTTTACTTTTACAAATTGTGACTTGGATGGAGAGCTGTCTCATTGGCACTCATACCCCATCTTCTTATATCTATTTTCACAACGATCTTGTCAAAATATACCCAAAACTACTGATGTATATTGTGACAATCGGTCTTCATTATTTGCCATATTGTGATCGTTGAATTTTTAATATTTTATATAAAAAAATGCAAGTGCATAAGGTAACCTATCCTTTTTTTTTTAAACAATATCAATCAATGATGTTAAAACACGGAAGTCACGGCAAAAGCATTCAAAGTTTGAGGGATAAATTAGTATAAAAGCCTATTGAAAATAAACCATTCACAAAAATCTTGTCTGTATAATAAGGAAATATCACATATTTGGGTCAGGAGAGTGAACAAAAGAAATACTTTATTGTTGGATGAATTATGCATATGTGTCTTTTTACTGCAAGAAAGGGTATTTCTGTCTACTTCCTCAACTTGTTAACTGGCTTGACGTACAAGTGTTGGGATAATGGGTAAATATTTATCTAATAATTTATCAGCAGTGATATATATGGTAAGTGATTTTTTTTGATATTGCATTATCTTCCTCCTTTCTTCTTACTACAAATCTTGATATAAAACAGAGAAAATGGTAAAACGTCTACTTAAACAAGATTATAAAGGAGAAAAATATTATTGTCACACCGTAAAATTGCCCATTACCCCTATTTATATTACCGAATAGATTATTTTTCTCTAAATGACCAATCTTGTTTAATCCGTCTTTGCCAAAAAAACCAAACAAGATGGTTTGGATATTCTACAATATTTTTACATACGTTTCAACGTTATTAATTATACGACCTTCACAAACACATAATTTACGTTTATAATATAGAGTCCGTTTGAATCGTCAACATTCGATAGTAGCTCGCTGGTATTCGTAAATATCTCGTCAAACATCGCATTAACTCGCAGACACTCACTTTATACGATTGTCCGAAATAACTGGTAACAATCCGTAAGTAAACTGCTTGTAAACGGTTCGCAATAACACATTACCATCTGTAAACTGCTCACCAGAATCCGTAAATGACTTGTCACAATCTTTTTCAACGATTTGTTGCGATTATTTTACTGATTATTTATGGATTATTACAACATCTTATGTGTTGCTTACGATTTCATTATGGTCGTTTATCATTGTGTTTACGGATTACTACGAGTGATTATGAGCATTTTACTTGAAGTATTAAATACTTAACGAAAAGAAACGTATTTCTTTCCCTTCCGGAGCACCTGAGATCACCACCAGTTTTTGATGGGGTTCGTGTTGTTCAGTCTTTAGTTTTTTATGTTGTATTTTGTGTACTATTGTTTGTCTATTGGTCTTTTTCTTTTTTAGCCATGGCGTTGTCTGTTTATTTTCGACACATGAGTTTGAATGTCCCTCTGGTATCTTTGGTCCCTCTTTTATGTATTATTACGTATTAGTTTACGATTTGGGAAAATGTATAAAAGCTGCGAAATCATTAGAACTCGTAAATATTCATAATTTACTAGTAACTATTCTTAACAACACGAAAACTAATTTGTTATTTCTTCAGACAAAGTTGTTTAATTACTTAATTGACTTCTTTTGATTTGATGCAACCATTTGGTTATTGTACTTGAATTCGATTCTCAAACAATTGCTCCTATACAAATACTGGATGAAGTTTCCTCCAGTATCACATTATTTGAACAAAGACATCCGCATTACACATTTGAATAAACTTACATTAGCAAGGTCTGTTGAAATGTTAGTTTACTCAATAACCGAAATTACAAAAACGATTAAAATGGTTAACTACCTTTTCATCAACAGGTTTAAACGTCATAATATATCCATTAGGCATAGATAACTATAATTACATTTCTGTTCCATCCAGTTTTAATAATACATCAAAAGTTTTAGTAAATCGGCATTTTGGGGTTTACATTTGTGTATATATGCGTCTCGTTTTTAAGAGTTAAAAGCACAAAAAATATCTACGACTCAAATGATCTGGTTGCAATATCATTTGTTTATTAACTTGAACTGGTCTTAAAAAAGTAACTACTCTAGTATTTGAAGATGTTTTAAGTGTCAATAGTAAGAAAAAGTGGTTTTAACTGGTTTATATTAATTAACAATTGAATAACTTGAGTTTCTCATTAGTTATAAACTAATAAAACAAAGAGATTCGTTTGAATTAGATACTTTTGATTGAATACGCTCCTCTATATCAACTGAAATTTTGTAAAATCGAGCCCATGAAACGACGTCTTAATCTTCAAAATGCATACAATATTAACCAGGTATTCACACTTATATGTGCTGTCGATTGTTCTATTTTGTCTATGCACAAGGCTATGCTTTCTCAGATGTTTTATGTATGAACTTAATCCGTTGGATGTGAACTGGATGTTTTTTTTTAGCCTGAACATTGTTTATGTATTAATAAGTTGAAACTGGGCTTCGAACTATCTGCGAGTGCTTTTCATCGATTTGTTGCGTCTTGTATCGTTCCCAATTTGGTTTTTGTTGTTGTTTCTACCGATTGCATAGCCCTTCCCAACTGATTTTTACAATCATTAAACTTTGCAAAAATTATTCAAATACATAAAATCTTCAACAAACGTAATGTACATCATCAATGTGTATACAATGACATGGAATTCGCTAAAAATAAGAATGAGGTGAACTTAAGTAATAGATACTTTTTTTTTAAAATGCACATTTATATTCTGAAGAGTGGTTGCATACAACAATTAACAAACACGAATAATCGTCAATATCTTCCTAAATAAATCAACCAAACTATTATGCAGACGGTTGCATACAACAATTAAAAACACGAATGATCGTCAACATGTTCCTAAATTAATCAACCAAACAAGCATGTTTGTCTTGCATGCATTTCTAGCGATATATAACGGTAATTTCATGATGAAAAGTAAACAATAACCTGGATGATTTTAGCAATTTGATCTAAAAAAATGGAAAGGTTCAAAAAAAGTAATTAGTTCTTTCAATACACGAACTGATGCCAACTAATTGAGTACATAAAACTGATTTACCTACAATGCAGTTTTATATCTACGTTTAGCTAATACATGTATCTTCAAAAGAGAAAGGATATCAGCTAAACCGACAAAATTAACCAGGAACCATTACTTAGTTTAATTTACAAAATAAGGAAATTATTTTAGTTAAATATTGCTGTTTAAAATTAGAAATCAAATTTTTATCTTAGGTATTACAGTTATTGATGCAAAACAATTTCCTATGAGAAATTATAGGTTTTATTTTCCATACAATTCTAACCATTGGAATAACCAGAAAATGACTTTAAAAACCTTACTGACATATACAAAAACAGTTATATTAAGATATTGAATCCTGCATGTAAATAATACTACATCATTCTCTTTTAATTGAACAGCGGTATACTACTGTTTACTTTATTTAATCATCAAACATCAAAATAACTTTAAAAGCTTTCTCATTTACATTTAACATGTTTATTGACAAATAATGACGAGTAGGAATATTCCATGAAAATAAGATAGATTGAAAATGATATAAAAGAAATCTTGTCATGAAACAGCCGGTTTCATGTTGCTGTGTTGGTCGTTAATGATGTAATATTTACCCCAATATCTATGGTAAACCCGTGTTAATTTATTATATCTCAAGAAATGACCATTTATGATATATAAATAGTATTCGACTAGCTTAGCTTTGGTACGTGTGTCGGCAGTGCAAAGGTCTTTTAAAAAATAAAATCACGTTTAACTACAGAATATTCAGTGAAAAAAAATAAATGCTTTTGATGGAAAATGCGAACAAAAAATGTTTAAGTATTTGATGAATATTTGAATGCATCTATATATAAAATTATATATATATATATATTTCTAATTTTCACGGATGATTGTCAAATGGCAATTATCCTCTTGCAATCTATTCTATTTTGTTTAACAGATAATTTTACAACCTGATTAAAGTAAACTGAGAGCTTTTAAAAGAAAAAATCAGACCTGCTTGTCTAAGAACCGTTGACCAATTCGTAAAAACACGCATTTATTATAAATAAATCAATTTCATTGCGATTTACGAGTATAGTATTCACATGGTACACATTGAAAGTCATGTTCATTTAAGTCGTCATCCAGTCCGTCTTCATTTGCTATAATGCATATTTCTTTCTTGTAACGAGAATGTATATTGTTAGCCCTAGTAGAGCAGGAACCACTAATCCCCCACAAATGATCACCTGTATCATTGTCTTGAAGGGGATTCGTGTTGTATTTGCTTTATATTTCAACAGTGTCTTTCAATGTTAATATTGTTTGTTTCTGTTAACAGACATTTCTAGCTGCTGTTCGAGTTTTGAGATAAATCTTTCAAATCTGGTCAATTTTTACGATTACATAATTAACATGTGTTGATGGTTTACGAATTTGGCTGTGTTTTCATTTAATCTTCTATTTTCATATCCACTATTGTAATTATGATGTTACTCGTAGGATATGACGCATCAATGTAAACCGAAGTAACGCGATAGGCTACAATGGGTTACCGGAATATAACATACATGCATAAACATTTTGTTAAATTTTCAGTTAATTAATTGCAGAACCTGTAAATAAACTCATGATTACTTTACAAGTAAGAGAGAATAATAGTGATTTATGCGGGTTTTGCTCATTTTGAAGAAAGGAAAATCATTCACTAATGATAAGCAGATACCGAACAAACTATATACATCGGTTTCTTCATGATTAACTTTCATAATAAAATTGAGAATGGAAATGGGGAATATGTCAAAGAGACAACAACCCGACCAAAGAGCAGAAAACAGCCGAAGGCCACCAATGGGTCTTCAATGCAGTGAGAAAATCCCGCACCCGGAGGTGGTCCTCAGCTGGCCCCTAAATAAAATTGTGTGCTAGTTCAGTGAAAATGGACGTCACTCTAATCTCCAAAAAATATAAATGAACTAAACTTAAAAAACATACTAGACTAACAAAGGCCTGAGGCTCCTGACTTGGGACAGGCGCAAAGATGCGGCGGGGTTAAACATGTTTTGTATGATCTCCCCTATACCTCAAGCCAATGTAGAATAAAGAAACACATAGCAATACGCACAGTAAAGCTCAGTTTAAAAGAAGTCCGAGTCCGATATCAGAATAGGTAACAAAAGAAACTAAGCAAAATGACAATGATACATAAATGAACAAAGGACCTAGCAGTTACTGACATGCCAGCTCCAGACCAGGCATGGTGTAATGCAAATGTGTAATTGTAATACATGGTAATGCATTACATTTTCCCAAGTAATTGCATGTAATGTGTAATGCAGGATTTTTAGCATAACATGTAATTGCAATATAATGCATTACTCTAGTAAAAATCTGTGTTATTTCATGCATTACATTGCATTACATGGCATTACTTTTTATGTTAACTATATATCTTTAAAAGATTGTTGGAGATTTAACTAAAATGGAATTGAAGATTTCTTGATTAACTCAGAACATAATCATTTAAATATTGATTTTCTATTTACCATTACTTTTCACACTTTACCTAAATCACTAGAGGGAATTTGGAGTTTAATCCTTGCCCCAGGTAGAACTTGAAATAAATATTTAATCTACTTTAGTGAAAAGTTATCACTTTGCAGTAGAATTTGTTATTTTGAAGAGACATGTCGAACTCTCTGGATCATTTTGACTTTCCTGGAAATATTGTTGACAGGAACACAAAGTTCAAGGCAAAATGCAAACATTGCTTTTCTGTAATTTCTGGTAGTCTAAAGATAACATCAAATTTTGTAACTCGTCTTAAGGTAAGATTTTCAATAATTAAGATATTGTATTAATATGTAAAAAATATTTCACAAATATATAAATAAAAAATAAAAATAAAATTTGTATAAATACTAGAATGTCCAAATTATAATTTTAAAAGAATAACACAACACTGTATATCAGACAGACTGAGTTATCTTTTTTAATGTCTTTTTATTTCATTCTATTTCCTGCATTTTCCTGAATAAACAAACATTATATATGAACAGTTATACTGTAAAAGTGTTCCATTGTTGTCAAAAGATGAATGAATATCTCGTCTTAATTAAATAACAGATAATTAGCATTGTCATAAAACACTAATTTGTTTGTTTTACAATCAATCTTTTCTCCATTTGTCATAAATTAAGCTCTATGTTTATTACATAATTAGGAAAGATTAGTAAATATTTTGATTGAAATTAAAAAAAAAAAAAAAAAAAACAAATGTATTTTTATAAACGAAAAGTTAACATTAAGTTAAAATATTTATTAAACTACATCTCTGTAATTTCTTTTCAGAGAAAACACAGAGATGTAAAAATTGATACCTTAAAACCAAAGACAGAAGATCAAACAACTTTGATAGGCTTTGTTAAACAGACTGGAAATCAGAAATATCATGTAAATGATCCTAAGCAAACAGAGGCTACCGATGCATTAATTCAGTTTATTGTCGATGATTTACTTCCGTTTGCTACAGTTGAAACCAAAACTTTAGGAACTTTGTTGAAAAACTTGACCCAAAATTTAACCTTCCAAGCAGAAAACATCTCTCGTCTAAACTTATTCATACTAAAGCCAAGGAAGTACGTTAATTATTGCATGACAATCTTAAAAAAGCTGGTCACATCTGTCTCACTGTTGACCTATGGTCTAACAGGTCAATGAAAGGATTTCTTGGCATAACAGCTCATTATGTATTAAACTGGGAAATGAAATCTGCAATGATTGCTTGTAAATGGTTCAAAGGAAGACACACTGCTGAGAATATCTTACATGAGTATGAAGAGTGCATAACATCTTTTGATATTAATGATAAGATTTTCTGCGTGATCAGTGACAATGCTTCGAACATGGTTTTGGACTTTAATTTCTCAGTTCCTAGATATACTGAACCTGATGATCAAAATTGTCTCAATGAGGATAATTTAGATGGTGATTTTGAACAGGGAACAATAGAGATAGAAAATCCTTTTCCTCAGCATAAACGGTGTTATGCATACAGTTTGCAGTTGGTTATAAAGGATGCTTTTAAGGAGTGTGGTCAAACCATTCAAAAGGTTATTGCTAAGGTTTCTAAGATTGTTTCGCCTGTTCGAAAGTCTATATTTGCATCTGAATTTCTTGAAGATGAAAAGAGATTACACGCATCTAATGCTACTAGATGGAATAGCCAAATGCATATGATTCGCTCGATTTTAGAAATTCTTGAGGAAAAACTTGATAAATTAGATTGTGCAAATATTACTGCATATGACAGAAAGGTGCTCATTGAAATTTGCAAATTTTAAAACCTTTTGAAGATGCAACTCAGCTTGTACAGAGAGAAAAAAATGTCAGTGGAAGTATGGTGAAACCAGTGACACTAGGTCTGAGAACACATTTACAATCTGTTAAGTGTGACTACAGTATAAATATAGTTGAGTCTTTGAAATCAGATGATGATGATGATGATGATATTATTTCCCCACCTGCTAAAAAGGGAAAAACAGATGATTTTTTTTAGCTTTCTACCCAAAAGCACTCCTAAGAAAAAAAGGCATGTTTCAGGCTCTACTCATTGTGTTGACAGTTATTTGGAAACAGATTGTGATGACTCTAATGCCAATCCTCTACAGTATTGGAAAGACAATGACACTAAATATCCAATGATTTCTAAATTAGCATTGAAGTACTTGTCTGTACCGGCATCCTCTGCACTAGGTTGAACGTCTGTTCAGTATAGCCGGTAAAGTATTCAGGCCTGATAGAATGCGAATGAAGGATGACACATTTGAAACCCTAATGATACTGAAATGCAATAGTCATATTGAATAGACTTTTTACATATATACTTATATTCAATGCATTGAACAGTTATTGAATATGCTTTTGTGACTTTATGTTGTTTTTCAAATGTTTGACTTTTCTTTTCACTTGATAATAAAATTTACAAATGTAATGTGTAATTAAATGCATTACTTTGCAAATTTAATTGTAATGTAATGCATTACTTTGATAAATTCATGTAATCGTAATTGTAATATAATGCATGGTTTTGTCAAAGTAATTGTAATGTAATGCATTACATTGCAATGTAATTCGCCCCATGCCTGACCTCTATTAAACTGATTAAAAGATGATGTCTTTATCATATGAAAATCAAGTACAATTCCTCCCGTTAGGGGTTTAGTATCATACCATCATAAAATATATGAGAAGAACATAACCCGTATCATGCCAACAACTGGTTTTAGAATAAATGTGTTTATTTCCGATGCGAAGACCCTATGAATGAATCAATATCAATACCAAAATATGCAATTCTTAATGACTTGACAACAGTATTGTAACTATCTCCTTTCCGAATAAGTCTGTTTAAAGGTTTGGTTAGCTTTTGAGATGAATGCCGACATTTTTGTGCTTTGTAAAGAATATTACCATAAAATATTGGATGTAAAATACCTGAACGTATAAGATGTCTGCATGTTCTTGTACCGATGAAAAAATTAAAGTAAATGTTTTGACTAGTTTGTGATAGCAATGCTTATTTTCAAAAAGGCTAGAAAAAGACTCAATTTTGAAAATAAGATGAATGCTAAATAATGGTTTGAGAAAATTTTCAAGAGAAATAAATTTTACGATGTTGGATTAAAACCTTCAATATTTATTTCCTACATTCAACTGGAATGCATATTTAGCTGAAATTTAGAAAGAAAGAACATACTGAGAGTTTGATTAGAAGAATTTTATAATCGAATGACAAGCGATATGAAATGTTCCATGGTTCAATGTATAAGGGAAATGGGGAAAATATTGACTTGAACAGCAGAAAACATTTTAGATATTTGTTTTTATCGCCTTCTTAAAGCATACAAACGAGAAAGTACATTCATATTTAGTTTTTTTACTCATTTTATAGCATTCGTTGCTTTTAGTCTGACTATTTAATTACTTTAAATAGAACTTGTATTGTCAAAAATATTTAAGATAATGGTAACAGTTGATTTCATCTACGCTCTTATATGTTATGATATTATTATTATTTTGTCATTTCATAGCTCAGATAAACACAGACACAAAGATTCTAGTAAATGTTGATGAACTGCAACATACTGACCGTTATTTTTCACCCGAGAGTCAGTATTACAGAACTCAAAATCAAGGTGGAAGTGAGGTAATTATAAGTTGTTAGATTCTACGTCATTTGGTTTCTCGTAGAAAAGGTGGCTAATTGGAAATCATATCCCATTTCTTTATTGTATAAAATCCGTCTGTTTTTTACTATAAATAAAATTATTAGTTTAGAAGACATGCAAAAGATATCAAAGGGACATTCTAACTCATAAGTAAAAAATAAACCGACAACACCATGGATAAAAAGAAAGAAAAAAAAACTGACAAACAATAGAACACAAACAACAGTGGAACAGTGTTGTAAAAATAAATCCAAATAATCCAACAATGATAATCAGTAATATATTGGAATCTCAGGGGTGGGGGTCAGTAACTATGTAGTGAGAAGTAGGAATAAGACGCTGGAAGAGATCACCTATTTCAGCTGAACGGAATATGATAAGATAGAGATATTAAGATGAAATATATGGCAAGGTTGATTATTGGAGCATAAGTATCTGAAACTAATGAGATTAAGGATTCTTCATTGATTAGATTCAAACGGAAGTCACGAATGCATCAGATATTTGTCAAATATAGTTATCTCTCCATGAACTAGCATAAGAACGATAGTTATTGATTTATCTTTGTCCAAAAGTTTTAAATAGGGCGTATATTTTTGTTAATTAAAATATATGAAAAGGGCGGGGTACTCTTTATCGCGGTAGATCAACATTACCACACAAAGGTCGAAATCCCCCCAAGGGAGAAAAAATCATTTCAAATCAATATTCACTTTTTCAGATTGATAGAGGATATGAATCAGAACCTGGAGACTATATGTGTTCTGCAATTATGGCATGCCTTTGTTGTTGCTGGCCGTTAGGATTGATTGCTATGCATTTCGCAAACAGTGTAAGTGTTTTGTTATCAGAACAAATCTGAACAAATTCAGCCACAGTTTGTATACTATAGTATTTTACAAAATATTGACAGTACAATGTCCACGAAAACAGATGAATGTATTAAGCTATGAGAAAATAAATGGAGATATTTTTGTACACGTTTAGTGTCATTGTAGTTGATAGCTTGTCATATGGTACATCTATAATTGTGTGTATCCATTAATAAAAGTAATTTCCATTTGTGTGCTAATGTGTCTCATTTAGGTGTACACTACATCATTAACGATTTATCCGTCAGAAATTTATATTAGTTTGTAACAACCTAACAAGTTGACACACCAAATGTATGAATAAATGCACCAAAGTTTAGGTACCTTTTGTTATTTTTTTTTTATTCTGATAAGGAATATTTTGTTTATTAGCAAATGATTTACCTATTTTCTTGTTTTGCAATGATTTATATTTTAAGGTATGAATGAATCATTCAAACATATTTTCTCAAAACACTCCTTACTAAACTGACAAAATCTCACACGTTTGACTCTATACAAGGATTCTTGCAAATTGCATTTGACTTCATGCAGCAAAATCGAATGTGCGTTTACAATTTTCATTGTATTTTAAATTTTTGCTATATTAAGTATCTTTTTCGCTTTGTCTTAAATTTTTTAAAGGTCCGAGGAGTCATTTTTACAAACAAAACACGTTTTTTATTTATGAAAGAAAAATTGTTTGTACCATCCCTCTTCATATCTTTTTTTTGGATAAGTGCAATTCCCTCTTTTGTTCACATAATGTTTCTTTATCATATAATCCTTCATCATATATACTATGGTACATTTTTGTCTTACAGGCAAATGATGCGAGAGCACAGGGACATTTCGAAGAAGCCAGAGAGAAAAATTGTGTGGCAATAATCATGATTATTTCCTCAGTTATTTCCGGAATACTAATAGTTGGTGCTGTCGTCGTTATACGTTTATCTTCACAGTAATTACATTTATTGGTGTCAATAAAATCATGCTTATATCAACTAATAAGTATTACATTATATTCTGCAAGATAAGTTTATTTTGATTAGTATTTCTATACTGAAATGTATCTTACAGTCAGACGAAGGAAGATCTCGGTGAAATTACGAAGAGTCGAGACAAAAAATCGTATGACACTACTGATATTTGTTTCAGTTGTTTTCTTTATAATTGTTTCTATTACATCTGTACTTTCATATCTAAATCATTGACATGCATTGGTGTCACTAAAGATTATTTCCACGCTAACTTTATACCATGTTTCTATTTCCGGTAAAATAAAACTACAAAATTATATTCTGCATTTTATTTTGGACAAATTGAATTGTGACAAATGCAAACTTTTACATTAATTGTAAATCGATTTTACTCTCTTGATACAAGTGAATTGTCTAACGTCTTGAATTGTCTTACGTCACGACCTCTGGCATATAAATTAATAAGAGTAGAACCGTTTCGTTGATATAAGGCACACTACAAAATTCAATAGACAAGATTTAGGACAGTTTTGGGACAGTTCAGACCTTACAATCTAGGTAATTGTTCGGACGAATCGATGGACATTTTGAACTGTTGAACATGGTTCATGTATTTGTATATATACCTCCTACTTAAACATTTAAATGTATTTGTGTAACCGCTTCATTTTAAATAAGAACCCATTAGAATCGGGTTCGTCATAAAATGAAAAAAAAATCTGACAACAACAATAAACCATTCAACAAATCAAATATCGGGCATGGTCTTTTATAAACACGTTAGTTTTGAAAGGTCAACGTTTGTCGCCAAATAAAAACTAGTTCAACCCCGCCACATTCTGTATCTGCCTGTCCTAAGTCATGAACCTGTAATTCAGTGGTTGTCGTTTGTTGCCTTTTTACATATTTGTTTTTCGTTCATTATTTTGTACATCAATTAGATGTTATTTTTCTCGTTTGAATTGATTTACATTTGTCATTTCGGGGCCTTTATAGCTTACTATGCGGTATGGGCTTTGCTCATTGTTGAAGGCCATATGATGACCTATAGTTGTTGATTTCTGTGTTATTTGGTCTATTGTGAATAGCTGTCTCATTGGCAATCATACCACTTCTTTTTTTGTATGAATATACTTTTCATACAAAGTTATAATAAAACAAATAATTTTATAGTCACTCAATTTGGGACAGACATAAATCAAACATAGTTAACCATCCTGTCGACGATGACGCACAATTTATTAATATGTAGTTTAATTATGTGGATATTTAAAGATATATTGTGCGGAAATCAGGATATCAATTTCACTTGGCAAAAGTAAATCCATTGGGATTTGTATTTTTTTTCAGTTTTGCAAGGACAAACATGCGAAGGGGAGAGCAAAACTACCATTACTACCAAAGATGTTTAGAAATATGTGACATACGGGTGGCAACTCCAAAATAATATACAAATTAAAGTTCTCAGAATAGAAAAGCAGTTGAAATATCATATTTGTTTAGTTGGTGATTTCAAACTTCTAAACATTTTCACGGATGAATGTCGTATAGGAATTATATTCCTTGAAACCTATTGAAACCTATTGCATTTTTGTCATGAAACCTTTTTTTTTTAATTTCAAATCCTCATGATATCAACTGAGAGCTTACAAGGAAAAGACAACCCCGCTCATACGTAAACCATCGTTTAATTCGTGAAATTACTCATTTCGTCTTTAAGAAAGATTTTCCTTGCCGTTGTGCTGCTTATTCAAACTGAGAACTGCTTAAGGAATCTCGAAATTTTATTATACTTAATTTGACTCGCTAGACGCGCGTTTCGTCTTTACAAGACTCATCAGTGACGCTCATGGCGTTGTCAGTTTATTTTCGATCTATGAGTTTGACTGTCCCACTGGTATCTTTCGCCCCTCTTTCAGATCAATTAGTTAGAAAGCCAAACAAATACAAAGTTGAAGGGCATTGAGGATCCAAAATTCCAAAAAAGTTGTGCCAAATACGGCTGAGGTAATCTATGCCTGGGATAAAAAATCCTTAGTATTTCGAATAATTCACACTTTTGCAAACAGTAAATTTATAAAAATTACCATATAATTGATATTCATGTCAACACCGAAGTACTGACTACTGGGCTGGTGATACCCTCGAGGACGAATCTTCCACCAGCAGTGGCATCGACCTAGTGGTGTAAATAGTTATCAAAGGTACATGTACCAGGCTCACAATTTGACTCGCCAGACTCGCGTTTCGTCTACACAAGACTCATCAGTGACGCTCAAATCAAAATAGTTAGGAAGCCAAACAAATAAGTTGAAGAGCACTGAGGATCCAAAATTCCAAAAAAAGTTGTGCAAATGAGGATATGATGGATAAGGGTAGAAATTTAGTAGTGTTACAGGCCATCTTCTGACCCTCAGAGAATTTTTGCTTTTTTGATGTTTTAACGTGCAGAGAGCATGGCACTCAATCAGCACGATGAATTCAGTTTAAGTTCCCATCCCTTTTCGACGCCTGACATCTGTAGTCTATGAGAACAACATATATTTTTTACTAATTGTTGACCTAAAACCAATCAAAATCTACAAAGGTCAAGATTATTTTGAAAATAAGGATATTATTCTTATTTCCTTACTTAAATATCAAAAAGGCCAACTCAATAGAATTGAATTAAGTTGCTTCTGTTACTATGAGTAATTCATATTCAGTATATTCTTTTTAAGATAATTCAGTTTTATTAATACCAGCTAATTGAATTATACTGATAAACAACTAAAAGTTGTTTTTCCTGTTCAAAGAACATCACAGAACGCATAGTTAGCAATGGTTTACAAATATATTTGCAACCGGAAATTATTTTGTTCCAGGTGGTACCATCCGCTCGGTCGCTTAAATTGGCATATTGAAAGTAATACATTTTCAATACAATTTTGGATTATAAACTTAATTGTATTTTCTTCTGACAAAGTTGATTTCTGACACTTCTTTTGATTCGATGCGACCACATGGTTATTTTACTTGATTTAGATTCCCAAACTTTTGGTCCTAATCATATACTAGATGAAGATTATTCCAGTATCACATTATTCGAACACAAACATCCGCATCACATATTACTGTTACTTACATTACCACTGTCTGTTGATATGACGTAAAATACAAAAGCGATTAAAATGTTACATTAATTTTTAATCTACAAGTTTAAACTTCATAATATACCCTTTGGGCAAAGATAAGTACAACTGTTTCTCTGTTTACGTTCTTTCAGTATTGATAATACCTCTAAAATTTGAGTGAATTAGCGCTTTGTTGTTGGTTGCGGCTCATTTGTAAGAACTATGGGTAGAAAAATATATTGTCAAAGACTTAAATTATCTGGTTGGAAAATCATTTGTTTTGTTATTTGAACGGTCTACACTAGTATTGAATATGCTTTAAGTGTCAGTAATATGGCAAGGTTGTTTTTACTGGTTTATATAAACAAGATATTAAATAACTTTAGTTTCTCATTAGTTATTTACTATTAAAAAAGAAAATAGTTTGAAATGGATATTCTTGATTGAAAGTGGCGCTGAAAATCAACTAAGTTTTATTATCCCAAAATTCTGTAAAAACAAGTCCATAAAACGAGGTCTTCATTTTCAATATGCATGCAACATTACCCAGGTATTAACACTTATACATGCTGTTGATACTTATATTTTGTCATTTCAAAAGGTTATGCTTTTTTTAATTGTGTTATGCAATCGTATGCACTTTAAACCGTTGGATGTGTACTGATTGTGTTTTAGTCTTGTAATATAGTTTGTCATTTGTTTTTTATTCTTTGTACCGTTTTTGGCGAGTAAAACCATTCCCAACTGATTTTTAGGGTAATTCCCTAAGGTATGCTGTTGAAAATTAATTCTAATTACTGATCTATTTTGAAAAAAAAAAATCATTTTAACATGAACAATTTACAACATTACGAAAGAGTGCATCACAAAAATAAATATTTGTTTCAAAATATAGTTTGTCAAAATTGATTAAAATTGACAAAATGGAATATTTTCACAACGATCTTGTCAGAATATACCTGAAACTACTGATTTATTACAGCACAATCGGTCTTCTTTTTTCCCGTATTATTGATGTTTTAATGTTTTTAATAAAATGATCCAGTGCTCAATGTAAAGTATCTCAGTTGTGTTATACAATATCATTCTCTGAAGTTAAAACACGGAAGTCACGAAAAAGAAACCTTAGAATTTAGAGGGATAGTTTAGTATAAAAGCCTATTGTTAACAAACCATTAACCAACATCTTGTCTGTATAATTAGAAAATATCACAAATTCGGGTCAGGAGGGTGAACAAAAGAAATATTATCGTATGAAATTATGTAAATTTATGTTTTACCACAAGAAAGGATATATCTGTTTACCTCTTTAACTTAACTGGATTGACGTACACATGTTGGTATAATGGATAGGTATTTTTTAATGATTTATCAACAGTGATATATGTGGTAAGTGTGACAATTTTTACACTTCATCAGCTACTCCCTTTGATATTACTACAAATCTTGATGCAAACGAGAGAAAACAGGACGAAGGCCGACTTAAGCATGTTTATAAAGAAGAAAACTATTATCATGTTACCTTTTGTTATTGTTATTTTGATCATTATTGTATTCTGATACTGTTTGACAACATATACTAAAAGAAGAAAATTGTGTCATGCTGGATATTTCACCATTTTTTTTTATTGATATGTTTTTTTCTCCAAATTACTAATCTTGTCTAATTCGATTATGAAAAAAAACCAAATTGGTGAGATATTCTACAATATGTGGATGTCTATAACGAGTAAGCTGATCACCTTTCCCTAATTGTTTAAATCTGGTTGTCGTTATTGAAATAATATTAAAAGGTGAATTGATCCAGCAATTCTAAATCAAAATTTCTAAACTAAGGCATAAACTGTATACTTTTAGAAAGTTTTTAATCCGATATATTTTAATTTTATGTGATTTTCATATCTTTAAATACTTAAATGGGACTGGTCCGTTAGAACTTTCCCCATAGGTTTACACTTCGGTCGATGTTGCCGAAACTTCTTTCGGAATTTATTCGTGCACGATTCTCACGCATAGGGTACTAGGGTTCTAAGAAAATTGTAAAAATTTAAACAAAAACACTACAGAACTGTTATTCCTGTTTTAATGCATCGACAAAATGAAATTCCGCGAAATTCCTCATGAATGATCTCATGATGATGGTGCTTTAATGTCATGTCGACATACGAAATAAACTTTCAAGCTAGAGGTTATTCTGTTACTGGTA